ATAGTTAGCTTTAATTTTCAGGTATATATCTATATTCAGTTTTATCTTGGTTTTTGATCAATTATTACAATTTTATCATTTTTTTTTCTAACTCAGGGCCCTGCTGGAATAATTACAAACTGACATTTCAAAGTAGTACACTAAATAGAAGATAGAAAAATGTAACAGACTTAGACTCAATCTATGTATTAATTTTTATGTTTATAGTATATATTACTTTTTACCAGTATTTTAGCACTATTAATATATTATACTAAGTAAATAAAACACTGTAAGCTACTTGATTTTTATAGTTTAAACTAAATCAGAGCAAGTTTCCTTCATTTTTTTTTTGAAGTGTCCTTTAGAAAGAAGCCTTATAAAAATACTTTAGAAACATTTTCCTCTTCCAGGTATTATACAGCTAGAAGTAGGGGTTTCTTTCTCTGTTATCTGGGAGAACTACAGGTACAGCGACTTAAAAAGGAACTTAGTAACTACAGGACAGATATACTCCTCAATCAGTCTGTCTGGAAAGATCATTGCGGGCTATGCTGCTAAGATCACAGGAACATCATTTCCTTTTACTTGTCACAGATGAACAGTAATGACCCGCTATGTAAAGTCTGAAGGGATGGGATGATACCTTGGATTTTTGTTCTGTGCTTACACCAGGGGAAGTTTGGCATGGATAATAAAGCTCAAGCTTGATGAAGAGAAAGAGAAAGAGAAAGAGAAAGGAAATGACTACTAATACATCAGCATGCTCAGTTATGCTACATTTACTCAATTATTTCTCAAATCAACAGTCTAGAACTCTGATTCTCATGTAATTACTCCATAACGTCTTAAAACCACAAAGTGAAATCACTGCTCTTGCCTAGTGTTTCTTTCTTTTTTCGTTAATTTTGAGAAAGTAGCAATGAGATACTTTCAAAACAGGTTAGGACAGTTACAATAATTAATACATTGCATACTGTTGTCTTTGTAGTACTCATAGTAAAAGATGCAGACATGATCTCTTGTCTAAATACTATTAGTTCAAAAACTTTCATCTCATTGAACTAAGAAAAAGTAGCTGTATATCTATGCTATTTTGTATGTATATATATATATTTTTTTTTACTACAAAATGGAGCTTCATTTATATCCCCATTTTTTTACTTTTGTCAGAGATGTGTATTCCATTGTCATTCATATATTATATGTGCATGAATTCAGCAAAGTAATCCAATACAGTCTAGGAGTCTATAATGGTAGTGGGTTATCTGCATAATTGGCAATGTCAGAAGCTGTTGACTTGAGCCTTTTACAGCTCATCATATAAATAGTTGCCTAGTGCTTCAAAAGCTTTCTTTTCTGCCTGGTAATCTACAAAGTAGCCAGCAGTTCCATCCCTATAAAAACATTTACTATGAAACAGATATACCTTAGGCTGATGTACATCTTCTATATCCCCTGGGCCACTGTGTTTCCTTTGACCTGTAAACAAAAAGAGAAAATAGTGTCTAGTAGTCAAATTCTAGACTTCTAAGACTGGGCTTGGTGGTATTCACCTGCAATCCCAGCACTTGGAAGGCTGAAAACAGCAGGATCACTATGAGTCCAATCTCTGTAGTGAGACCCTGTACTAAATTAAAAAAAAAAAGTATCAGTTATTTAATTAGGTTCTTAGTAAAAAATTTAGAATACTAATTTATGAGGATAAATTCCATTTGTCAGAGCAAAAACAGATCATAGGTAGCCCTGGAGCTGAGGAACAGCTTTGATTTTTGCTAAAATCTGTGAGTCCATCACTTTCTGATCCACCTTGCTCTGCTCTGAAATCTGGTATCTTTCTTGGTGTCGAAGATCTTGCCCTCCTGGTATCTGGGCTTCCACAGCTGCTGCTTCTTGAAGTAAGCATCAATGAGGTGTTTGGGAATTTTCACTTTGCTGATGTCAATTTTTGTAGAGATGGCAATGACAAATTTCTGATGTGTTCTTCATAGAGGAACACGATTAATGTTAAGAGGCCAGTCACAAGTAGCAAGCCACTGTCCAGCTGCTTCAGGAAGATCACTCTCTTGCCTCTGTGATGCCCAGTGAGGATGATAACGATGGCGTTGGGAGTGATGCTAGCTCAAAGGTTCTGCACATGCTGACTGAAAGGTTTCTTGCTGTGGCTCAACAGCTTTCAGGGTACATCTTCAGTAGGGTAGGATCTAGGCATTTTTCGAAGCTTAATCACCTGGCTACCTCCATTCTTGTCCTCACTGACCAGTTTTGTGTTCACAGCAAGAACTTTCTCCTTTTTCTTCTGAACCTTTGACTTAGCAGCTGTGAACTTTCTCTTGTACAAAGCCTTTCTGGAATACATGGCAGATCGGGAGTATCTACCAATTCCTCTAACCAGGACAGGATTTCGGCTGCAGTGGCACTGCCCCTTCTTGGATTTTTTTGCCTTCCTCACCTTACCCTTTTTACCAGCACCACTGGCAGAAGCCTTCTGGGCTTTGGGTTTCTTCTCTTTAGTATCTGGCTTCTCAGTTTTTTCACTCGCCATCTTGCAAGATTGGAAAGTTTCCAAAATCTAGACTTCTAAAGCTCACAAAGTTTGCAGTGAGAAAAACCAAGGTAAAACAGATAAAGTTATGTAAATATTTATATTAAAATTGGCATAACGATGTTTTTATACTCCATACTTCCATGTTTGTTAGAAACCCAATACTATATAGAGAGATAGTAGTATTTCTACAGGAAAATAGATCCTACAAAATAATACTAAAGGATGAGCACTGAATTCAGTTTTTGTGCATATATATCCAGACACATGATCATTCAGTAGATTATGTACACTATTCTTGTAAGACAAAATTATTTCTCAATTATATTATCATCTTTTCCTAATATGTTTGATTAATAAGATACTAGTTTGGATACTGCATTTTCTTCAAAGCAAAATTTATGTGCAAGGAAAAGATCACATTATGAATGTATGGGCGAAATTGTTTTTAAAACAGCTTAGATTGATAATAAAGCAATTTTTTAGTGTATCTTTTATTGCCTCTTTTAAATACTGCAAATAAAAATTGTAATTACCTACATATGCATTTAGCTGTGAGATAAAAGCCTAGAAACAATGTTTAAACATAGAAAATATTCAGTGAATAGTTGATAAGTATTCAGTGAATGAATAAAACGAGTATCTCAGATGTAATACACAAAAATACAAATTTCCCTGGATATATATTGGAGATGTAAAATACTTTAAGAAGGATATAATTGGGAGCAATTTAATTTATTTCTTGGGAATAATTTTCACAAGAGGAATCAAGTTATGCTTTGTATCAATCACTTCATTCAGGTGAAGAAAGGTGCACAGAATGTCATTTTATCAAAGAGGACAGGAGTATATTCTTTGAAGCCTCATTCCTGACTTCTAATGTTGATTCCTCTGCTTACGAGATGGCTGACCTTGGACAAGATTTTAACATCTCTGCCTTCATCGAATATCTACAAATAAATGCAAATAATGGCCCCTGGCATCTATGAATGTCAAAATTAAACAACACAATCTATGTAATGAGTTTAGAGGAATTCCTGGCAAAGAGAAAACATTTCACTATTACTACTGTTAGTAAGAACAAGAGGGACACTGCTTTTTCTAAAATGTGGCCATTAAACAGCAGAAAAGTAATATTTTCCACAAACTATCCTGTCAGCCACAGTTCTTAAAGAGAACCTAGAAATAAGAAAGATGACTTTATTCTCAGTTTTAAGATACTCATCAACTAGCTGATACAAATTATGAGATGGTGAGTTCCGGTAGGCCGCTATATTCACCTCCCTCTGTCACTCTTGAGGTCCTGTCATGTACCAGGCATGGTGTTAAGGTACTTATTATGTATTAACTCCAGTCCACACAGTAACAGCCCCACAGTTGGGCAGTTCGATAAGTAGATAGGAAAAGCCCAAATGTGTAGATGGGGATTTTTTTTTTTTTTTTTGAGACAAGATCCAGACTGGCCCTGAAGTCACTGTGAGGCTCAAGGTGGCCTTGAACTTGTGGCAATCCTCCTGCCTATGCCTTCTACATTGTGGGATAACAGGTGTATACCACCATGCTTGGCAAGAACTGGGGATGTCAATTTACCTAAGGCTATAAAACCTTTAAGAATAATCCCCCTTCCAGCACCAAAGTAGATACATTTTAATCTAAGTCAGAAAAGCACCAACTTTATTTTATATGAGGAAAGTTCCTTATTCATAATTCTCAACATTAAAAGCTCTTCAGGCTGGGGAATGCTTGCCTAGCATATACAAGGTCCTGGGTTCCATTACCAGTACCTCAAAAAGGGAAAAGAGGTGCTTTGGAAAGGGAAGAAACTGTACAAGGAAAATCTGTTCTTTTTGAAACTTTGTTCTCTTTGAAGCTGCCTGGCTCTGTAACTGTTTTCTTGTTCTCTGTAGCCACAAGAGTGTAAACAAACACACAACATGCCTGATGATTGTAACTGATGATTATTAAGTTAGCCCTGTAACTGATGAACTCACCCAGCCGGCTAATCAGAAGACCGGCCAGACTGTCCCGTCCCACCTTTGTAACCCCTGCTTATGCCACATATAAATATGCTGGCTCAAAGACACTTGCTGCCTGGCTTTTCTGGCAAGTCATTCCAGCCAGAACCAGTGGTGTAAAACAAAGCTGTTCACTGCCTCCTGACTTTCTCTGGTGTGGCTCCTTTGCACACCTCCGTTTTGCTGCAACACTTCAAGTGAAATTTTAAAATGAATATAATGTGTTAAGTAAACAAGTAGTCTGTAAGTAAAACAATTTCTCACATACTGAAAAGTAGGATTAAAGTTAAAGACAATCTGAATATTTAAGCTTAAAAGGTACTTCCACCATCTAGTGAAGCATAAATATGTGACTTAGTAAATTCTTTCACGTAAGAAAAGTGGGACCTACATCCCAATGCGAAAAGGGTTTAATTCCTTTCCAAGAAGGAAATTGCCTTATGAAGTTATAGGTCAGATGCAACCATTCCTGAACAAGAGATTCTAAATTGGGAGAAAGTCAGAATGCTGGAGAAAGCACTTTTAGAACAGTGAAACAATGGTGTCATCCATTGAGCAGTTAAAACATCATCAAAATAATAATAATAATAATAATAATAATAATAATATCATCACCACCTTTTGCTTTCAATTTTATTTGCAATTTTTATACAGTTCAAAATATAATCAGGGGCTGGGGAGATAGCTCAGCAGTCTAAGTGACTACCTGACAAGTGCAAGACCTGGGTTTGATCTCTGGTACTGCCACTGAAAACCAGGTGTGGTGGTGCATGGCGAGGCTGAGACAGGAGGATCATGACAAGCCTGAGCTATGCAGTGAGACCCTGTACCAAATAAATTACTTAAAAACTAAAAAATACACACATAGAATTGATTTTAATAATCTGTTTCAATGTGCTTTTATAGGTCAGGCCTCAACAAGCTAATGTCTGCCTCTTATCTTTCTTTTGCTATAATTTGGCTTCTAGAGAGAGAATTTCCTGCTCTAAAGAAAATACACTAACTGCCTCTTAGTGGCTTTTATTAATCAGTAAAAGACAGGTACTGTGGCATGCATGTGAGTCTCAGTCACTCATCAAAAGATAGCTTGAGGCTCAGAGTTTGAGACTAGTGGGGGCAACAGAGTAAGACTCCTGTCTCAAAAACAACAAAAAAAAAATCAGTGAGGGGTGGGCCAGATAGTTCAGCTGATTAAAGTGCCTGCTCAGGCAGACGTGAGCCACTTGTGTGCTGGCCCCTGCTGAGATGACGATGGAGACTGGGTATGGTGGTGTGCGCCTATAATCCCAGCACTTGGAAGGTGCCCGGTTCAGCACACACTGGGGGCAGGGCCCTAAGGTTTTTCTTTATTATAAAGGTAGGACACCTAGAACTAGGTCTTAGTTTTTAGTCTGTATCATTCAAGTAATTACATTTGAGTAAATAAACGGTTTATAAAAATAAGTCACTATAAAATACAAAATTAATCCTGTTTTAGTTACTTTTTGTATTACTGAGACAAAATACCTGACACCCAAAGTTAAGAGAGGAAAAGTTTATTTCAGTTCATAGTTGGCTGGCTACAAAACTAGGTGGCACAGCAGCAGGGTATCATAGAGGAGAAGCGATTTATGAGAAGCAGAGGCCTATAAGCAGCAAGTGGAAACAGCAGCCCTTTTTCTGTCCCTTATACTTCATCCCTAAGGACAGGTGCTGTACACATACCCAAGGTGGGGCACCTTTAATACTATTCAGAACTATGCAACCCAATCTGTGGATTAATTTAGTAATCATACACCCAGGATCCCAGCATCACACACTCTAGATCCAGCCACATAGGAAAAAATTCACATAAGACCTCATGACGCTTTGGGGGGGGATAATCAGACACAAGCCATAACAGGGCTACTGGTCATTAAGGACAACTAGTCTCATGACCCTAA